AAAATAAAAACCTGAAACTTGCTGTTGTCGTTCTGGAGATTGGAACATGACAGAGACTCTCGTGTCTGGGATCTGGTTCACTGAAGTTACACGGAGCTAAACTTCTGATTTCAAGATTTAAACTCACCTCAAAACACAAACTAAGGCCAGAGCAAGAACCTGTCCAAACCTGTATTCAAAAGACTTTTTTTAAACTTTTGGACTTTTATTAACGGAGGCAAAAAGAGCCGCTGATTTAGATTGAACAAAAACTGCCCCAGTCACAAAGGACGCAGACCCTTCAGCTGTTCACTTTGCTTTACAACTCGCACTTCATCTTAATGCAGGTTTGTTCTTTTCTGCACTGAATCCTTCTCTTTATCTGTTCTCATGTTTTACTCTGAATTTCTGTGTTTCTTTTCTTTTTTGGGACTAAAGTTTTTTGGTTTTTTTTTCACATTTTGTAAAGAGTAAATCTCTTTGTGCGTTTGGATTAAAACATGTTCATTAAAGACACAGTGTGGTTTATTTTGAACTCTTTACTTCTAAACCCAGAAGCAGTCACATGACCTCGATGACAAACAGACTAAAGACAGTAAAGGTGTAAAATGGAGCAACAGCGCCCCCTGCTGCTGCTGCTGTTCCTCCTCCCACGTGTGAGTGATTCATTCAGAGTAAAGAGGAAGTGCTGAGTCAGTATTTGTCAGAGCGTTGGACACAGAGGACACAGCCGTGTGAGTCTGGACTCTTTGGTTCAAATGGAGAAGATCTCTGCAGTGGAGGACTTTCTGACCTGTCCTGTTTGTCTGGAGACCTTTAAAGAGCCAGTGTCTCTGGGCTGTCACCACAGCTTCTGCTCCGTCTGTCTACACAACTACTGGGACCAGAACAGCACCAGGACCTGCCCCGTGTGTCGCAGGAAGGTCTCGAAAGACTTTCTAGATGTGAACTTTGCTCTGAAGGAACTGACTCTGTCCTTTACACAGAAGGAGCAGGCTCCAGGAGGAGAGAGGCCTGTGGTGTGCTCCTCACACCCAGAGCAGACGCCTCTGTTCTGCCTGGACGAGAGGCGCGCCCTCTGTGTCCTGTGTGTGAGTTCTCTCTTCACTCGGGGCATAAGGTGGTGTCTGTGGACTCAGCTGTGAGTGAAGTGAAGGAGCAGCTGCGCTCACAGCAGCAGTCTCTGTCCCAGAGGAGAGAGCAGGCCTCACACGCACACACTCAGTGTGAGCAAATACAGGAGCTGGCACACACGCGCAGGTGGAGCTCTGTGAACGCCACATCAGGGGGGAGTTTGAGCGGTTACACCGGTTCCTCCAACAGGAGGAGGAGTCTGTGCTCAGAGCTCTGAGACAGGAGCAGAGCAGACAGGCCCAGGCCATAGAAGCACAGCTACAGCAGATCAGGGAGGAGCTGTGTACTATGGAGCAGAACCTCCAGACTGTGGAAGATCTACTGCAGAGACAGAGCGTGGACTTTCTCACACAGTACAGACACACTCACAAAGACACACAGACTCTGCTCTCACAGCACAGCCCACAGCTGGGACCAGGACTCCTGATAAACCAGGCCAAAGTCCTGGCCAACGTGGCCTTCAACGCCTGGAACAAGATGAGAGCCCTGGTGAGCTACAGTCCAGTCACTCTGGACCCAAACACTGCAGGCAGACGGATCCATCTGTCTGAGGATCTGAGGGGGGTGAGACGTGGAGACAAACAACAGGTCCCTGAAAATCCAGAGAGATTCTGTAAATATGCCTTTGTTCTGGGCAGTGAGGGCTTCAGCTCTGGCTCTCACCAGTGGGACGTGGAGGTGGGAGATCATCCGAGATGGAACATTGGTTTGGCCAAAGAATCTGTCGACAGGAAGGGAGAGATAGATATCACTCTGGAAAATGGACTCTGGTGTTTGGGCCTTTACAGGAGAAAATACTTTGGTTTTGGTAAAAAACTGTCCCTGAAGAGGAGACCTCAGAGGATCCGAGTTCGACTGGACTGTGATGAAGGGAAAGTGTTTTTCTTTGACGCTGGTGACATGTCTCTGATCTGCTCTCACAAACACAGATTCACAGAGAAAATATTTCCTTTTTTCTTTGTTGGTGAATCTGGTGACGCTAAAACCAAAGAGATTCAAATATTTTCCAGTGAAGATCATTAAACAGTTATAAACTTTTTTTTTTTAAACATTGTTATGATTTTATTTTATTTTTTATAAAATTACTATGTATAAGATAATTTTACAACTGTTTAACTGCCATTTTCATTTTCAACCATTAAAAAAAAAGAAACATTTTACCAGATCAAAATATGATGTAAACAGTTATTGTTGAAATCAGTTATTTTAATCTCAACAGAAATGAGCCTGTTCTTTTTTAAAGTGATGTTTCTGCTGTTGAATTCTTGTGTGTAAAGTGTCTGAACATAAAAACATTAAATTCCAAATGAAATGTGATGAAACGTGTCGTGTGTTGAACCTGTCAGAGTAAAACACAATAAAACCCTGTGAATAATCGAGCAATAAAAGACGCCGTTCAAACTGTAGAAAGTCAAACTGTGAGTCAAAGTTCACTGTTCAGACGACGACTCAGCTACATTTACTCCAGTCACTTTTAAATTGGACTTTTCAGATACTTTTCTAGTCTCCTACTCGAGTAATATTTGTAGTGTTACTGGAGTAAAAGTTGTGCTTCCTCTTCCCACTGTGAGTGAGTCTAAAGTGACAAAAGCTTCACGTGACAAAATGAAACGATTTGAACATTTGTGTTTGTCGCAGCTGCTTCACTTCTGATTTAGTTTGTCTCATTTTTGTGTCTGTTCTTTGAAAACACCAGATTCTGTCACTTATTTCATGTTTTGTCACGTTCACTTTTTATTTTTTATTTTTTTTAATGATAAATCAGATGTTACGTCCTGACAGTTTCTCTCTAGACTTGGACAGAGTTTATTGATCCACAGGGAAAATGACTTGGACACAATAACTCACACATCACAATAGATTACAATAACACAGAGTTAAAAAATAAATAAATTAATTAAATATTAAATTAAATGGGCTTCATTCTCGGCCTCTATTGTCGATGCGGCTGCTCGGAGCTGCGGGCGTAAGGTCTGTGGTGCCTGTCGCGGCGGCAATCCCCGAACCCGGTGGTGGACACTGGAAGTAAGGGATGCCATCAGGCTGAAGAAGGAGTCCTATCGGGCCTTGCTGGCTCGGGGGACTCCTGAAGCAGCTGACGGGTACCGGCGGGCCAAGCGTGCTGCAGCCCGTGTGGTTGCGGAGGCAAAAACTCTGAGCTGGGAGGAGTTCGGGGAGGCCATGGAGAAGGACTATCGGACGGCCTCAAAGAAATTCTGGCAAACCGTCCGGCGCCTCAGGAGGGGGAAGCAGTTCTTCGCCAACACTGTTTACAGTGCGGGGGGAGGGCTGCTGACCTCGACTGGGGACGTTGTCCAGCGGTGGAAG